GTGTATATATATATATATATTTGTCTTTTCGAGACAGGGTCTCCCTGTAGCCCTAGCTGTCCTGGATTCACTATGGAGACCAGACTGGCCTCGAACCACAGAAATCCGCCTGCCTCTGCCTCCCGAGTGTATTGCATCGTATTGTGCAGTGCCTGTGGAGGTCAGAAAAGGGTGCCAGATTCCCCTGGAACTGGAGTTACATATTGTTGTTAGCCATCATCAGGGTCCTGGGAATCAAACTCAAGAGCAGCCAGTTCTCTTAACCTCTGAGTTCTCTCCAGCCCTATGATCTGTGATTTTTTTTTTTCCTTTTTTAGACCATAAGGCAAGAAAAGAGAAGTAGAATCAGTTTTAGAGCTGATAATGTTGACATCTCAGTGCTTATTCTTGAGCTAAATACTACACATTTTAACTGTATGAGGTACGTACTATCATCCCATCTTACAGAGGAAGAATCAGAAGTATAACGTGTACTGTCTTTCCCATAGTAGCACAGCTATTGAGTAGATCAGGGATTCAGTCTCAGCCTGTCTAGGTTCAGCATCTGGTTTTTAGTCCATCAAATAAATATCCAAAGAAGCTGTGGCTTTCTTAGCATCACTAGTCAGTTTGTCAAAGCTCTGAGATAGGCAAATAAGTCTCCTAACATGAAGTAGGTGAATTGTTGCTGGGTTTTGTTGTTTATATTTTTGATGAACTAAGCATTCCAGTCAATCACATTAAATTTTTTTCAAGAGCAAAGGAAAGGTTGTCTGTTTCACCTTCTTAAACAGATTTTTCCTTAAAGTTTCCTTCACATATACCTTAAATTTGGATTGTTTTTAGTTTATTTATGAATCATATGAACATGATTTGAAGGCAGAAGGAATAATATAGGAGTTACTTTTCCTGGGGAGATGCCATACACACAGGTTTACTCACCCCAGCAAGTAGAACCCAGGACAGACCAAAGTAACTATTGTACCAGAGTCCGATTTAGTAAACCAAAGAGTTTGTATTGAAGTTACTAACAGGAATTTGGGTGAGGGGTTACTCTCAGGATCAGGGATGATGCAAATACAACTGTATCACTAAAAAGTCTACCCCCCACCCCAAAACACGAGGGATGACTCACTAAAGCTGTATCCCTAGAGCTCTCTGACCAACTTACAGGCAGTTCTGAAGATCTCAGAATTTCCTCTCTTAGCTCAGCTGATCAGTCTCCTCCTCCAGCAGTTGTTTACTGTTTCTGTATAGCTAGGGAAGAGCCTTCTAGGATTTCCAGGTTTCTCCTCTCCTACATATGTGACTAGTATCCTAAGTCTCATGAACTTCTCCCCCACCCCCCAGAGGGAATATTTCATTTCCGAGGAAACTGTTAAACAACAAGGGAGTAATTGCTTTGAACTTGGCCAAAGATAGCATAAAATTAGATACAGAATTAAGAGTCTGAATGTTTTAAGATGGTGTGAATAGAAGAGATAAAAAGAGCTGTGTCTTGGAAAATGGCAGTTTGCTAAGCAAGCAGAGTAAGGATCTGATCCATTTTCAGGCTAATAACCTGTTGATCAGTAGAACATAATGCACTTGAGAACCTAGAGGGAGATTAAATTGTTAGTATACCCAGGGAAGGTAGAAGGGGAAGACTAGAGATGAAGTTAAAAGTGCAGGACCCCTTTATTAAACTTCACCCACCCAAGGCTCAGGGACCATCATGGAAGAGGGGGTGGAAAGATTGTCAGAACCAGGGAGAAGGTTTATGACCATATGGAAACAGAGTCCTACAAGCTTCTGGGAAGCTGCTCATTCGATTCTATGGCAATGGTGCCAGCATACACAAGTCCCATGCAAAGTCAGGCAGACAATAACCCAGCACAGAACTTGGAAAATGAACAGCAGACCTCAATCTTTATCTGTAGGAATGTTGGCAACTGATTGCTGCTAGATGGAGAAGAGCTGATCTTCATAAAACAAGGGACTCTAGATAGGCTGACTAGACTCAGTGGATGGACTTGCACTGTGGAAAGGCTGAGGACACTGACAACCCAGTGGACCTTAACAGGGATGACAGAGTATATGGGCTCCAGTGGGGGGTAGGGGGGGAGCCAGTGGGGACAGGGTATAAAGATGATTAAGATTGTTTGAGATGTTCTGTA